TTATTTATTTATTTATTTATTTATTGGGTCCTGTAGGAAGCTGAATTAAATTGAGTCAGCTCTTACTGGCAACAGCACTCCAGGGCTTCAAGCGGAAGTGTTTTTCACTAGGCCTATTTGGCAACCCCTATCATTCCCCAGTCTACACTTTCAGAACCAGATGAGATGAGATGCATTTAGGAGGCTATAGTGTGGGAACCATTGAATATATTACTTGAACAGTAGCCCAGCTACTTGGCTATTTTTGTGTTTCTGATTTTATTGCTATAATATCTTTTCCCAGGCTGTCCTATAAGGATTTTGCTGATGGAAGTATTTAGCATCTCACTCAAGGGGTCTTGAAAACTTCATAGCTTCTTTCAAAAGTTTATTGACTTCTGGAAAGTTTTGCAAGGGTGAGGTCAGGAAGATGCTGCTTGGCCTCTGAAGCATCTCTTAAAGACTGAGCATATTGATATAGTTGTCTGGGAAAACCTATAATATTAACACTGTGCATAATATTAATTTTGTTCATCATTTCTGTTAGAAACGTCTAAAAGCTGCTGAAGCAGAAAGCAAATTGAAACAAGTGTACATACCTACTTAGTAAGTATAATAAACAGTCATACTTTTTTTAAAAAATGCAAAATTTGTAGACAACTCAGGAGCAGCAACCAAGGAGCACCATTCATAAAACCCTAGTTTGTTTTACATTGAACGTATTTGTATAAAATCCAATAATGCCCATGCTGACATTTATCAAAGAGTTTTCAATTATTTTCTTATGTGTAAATACAAAATATAGATCTTTTCCATTGCAGGTCTCTTCACACTTACATGAGAATAAGTCTAGGTAAACACAGTAAATGTTCCTTGGATTACACTGCAACTAATTTTTGTAGCATTTGTTCATTGAATGATGAACAGTGAAATTCTGAACTTCTCAAAAGTAAATCCTGTTTTGTTCAGGTTTCAACCAAAGGGGGGGGGGTTGTATCTTAAATTATTTCCTTTCTGTGTGCAGATGCATATAACAAGACAAATATATAGGATACTTTTACTTAAAATAGATAAAGCAACAATTATATCACACATTTTTGTATTGGAGGATTTGCTGTTATACCAGTCTGCAATGGACATAAAAGTGACCTAAGCAAATTATTCTTTTTACTGTTGGGTAAAGCCACAAATCTTTGGCCATGTAAGTGTTAGTAAAGTCTCCTGTTCCATCCCTCAAGGTTAGTTGGGTGATTACAGGCATAGAGCATTGTTACAAAACAATGAAAGGTTCATCCCACGAAACAGTCTACGCCAGGGTGAGCAGCTTCTATTATGTTTAACTTGTACCACTCAATGCTGTGTTCTTCTACAGCAAAAGATTTGATCCATTGTGTGGTTTGTTTGGTTTTTTTTTTTTTTTTTCATTTTAAATTGTGTGTTTCACTGTTTGGCATTATTTAGAATGTTGTTTCTTAACTGGCACGATCCATTGTGTGGTTTGTTTGGTTTTTTTCCATTTTAAATTGTGTGTTTCACTATTTGGCATTATTTAGAATGTTGTTTCATAGCTGGCAGTCTTGACAGTTGGACCAAACTGGGTGTTCATACTAATCAAAACAAATTGGTGGAAACTGTCCACATCCATAACATTAAAGAGAATGGCTTTTTCATTATTCACTCTTTATCCATACCCCCCCAAGTAATTTTGTTGGGGGAAAATATTATTACAGATATAATTTAATATATACTTGTATCCTAAACCAAGAGTGGGATGCCTTTAGGTTTGTAGGATCTACTTAGTTAAAAAACAACAACAGACCCCCAAACACAAACATTCACTAGCTGGGTCAAAATGCAAAAGGCATAGCCTTAGCATTAAGTATTTCTGAGCTCAAGAATTTATATGTGAGCTCATAGTCGTTTCATAGAAAAATAGTCTTGGCTACCTGAAGCTCTCTTCATTTCAGCAATATAATTTTTTTTGGAGTGGAGAGAATAGTCATTTCATTGTTGCTGTTCTTAAACAATTGGGAGTCAGAAATCTTCGTTATTCTACTGTGAGCCACCCAGAGATCTGCCAGCATGTTTCAGTCTATTTTTTGCTCATTTCTGCCCAGAATGTAGCAGAAATTCTTAATATCAGTTTCAAAATTTTTACACAAAAATGGACATTATTATTTCTTATAACTTTGGCTAAAGCTCAAGTCAATTTGACCTCAATACGTTTCTCTTTACATGCATAGGAAGTTTTTTAAAATAAACTCGAGTTTCTCATCAGTAACAAGAGACCTTGCTATGTAGAACAGATCACTTGGGGTCACAGACTGCCTTTGATACTCACTAATAAGGGGATTACTGTTTGCTGCCGTTTTAAAGGAAGTTTAGCTTTCTAGAGGCAACTGCAGTATTTATCTGAAAGTGTGTGCAGAGACCTGGGTGTGATTAACAGAACTCTGCAGGGGCCATTGTAGTGCCAAATTAAAAGTGTCTGAGAATCTTGAGTGTTTGACATGTTTTTTGCTTTTTGTTTGCATAGAAAATATTTGGCCATTTGGTCAGTAATCTTGATAACAAATGTGATTATTACAGAAGTTCAGAGAAGGTTCTGTCATTTAACTCATGTTGTTAATTTATGTGTGATCACTTTAAAGCAACAAACCAAATCCCAGTCAGATATCCAGCAGTAATGGAAAACCAAGTGCCATGAATGGAGCAGTTGGAGCACCTCATCAGGCTCAGAATTCGTTAATAGGCCGTGCCTGTGAAAGTTGTTATGGTTAGTAAAGAGTGTATTTCCATCTCATGTGCCCCTCTGAGAAACATGTCCTTCTGATCAAGCAATCTGTTGTATCCTCCATTGAGGGATTAGCTCCATGCATGCATGAGCATGCACATGTGCAACAGACTCCTTTATAGGAGTGTGTGGGTTCACCTGCTTCCACAAAAATTTCATGCAGACATCACAGTATACCCAGATTTCTTGATCAGGGCTTTCATAAGTTGTATGAAAACACGAAAGTGCGTCTTTTTGTATAGCAAGCCTGTATAACATGACTTTCATTCCCACAGCATATCAGTTGCATATAAAGGTTTTATCTGGTGCTTGACACACATATGCAGCCCTTTTATTAGTCCCAGAGAGGCATCAAAACAGGCTGGTGGGCAGCCATTGTGTGCAATTTACAGGCTGTTTGTCTTAGTAGAGAGTAGGCAAACATGTCAGCTCTGAAAACCTCAGATGGTGGATTGTGGCCCCCAATTTTTTTTTTATTTTTTATCTTTTTTTTGCTACAGAAAAGGAATTGATGGGAAAGTGGGTATCTTTAGCCTCTTCTCTCTGCTCTTGTGATCTTGTTCAAGACAGAGGTAGCAGCAGTGGTTAGAGCTGTTTTGGCTTCATAGAGTCATAGAACTGTTGGCAGGGAGCCCAAAGTGCATTTGGTACAATCCCCTGCAAATGTAGGAAGTCCATGGCTATGTATCCCTGATAGTTGACCCTCCAATTATGGATAGTAGTAGTAGTAGTAGTAGTAGTAGTAGTAGTAGTAGTAACCTTAGAACTGCAGAGCTGGAAGGGACCCTATGGATCATTGAGTCCAGCCCCCGTGAAGAAGGCACAGTGGGGAATCGAACTCCCAACCTCTGGTTCCTCAGCCACTGAGCTATCCAGCATTTCTTTAAAAACCTCCAATGAAGAAGAGTATGTCAAGTTCTCAGGTTGCCAGTGTCACTTACTCTTTGTTGAGAGAGGCGGGCTGAAGCACTGCCACCCTTACTGCCAGCCTGCCCCCCTCCCCCGCCTAGCAACCCTGAGAGGGATTGAGGTACAAGCTCCTCTAACCACGGCAGTGGAACAGCAGTTTTTGTTGTAGCCCACTTTGTTCATTTGAGCTGCGCCAAAGATCAATGTATTCTGCTCATCCTGTCCTTACTGGGTCACAAGGTATGTAGCTTTGTTATCTGTAAAATCAGTTTGTAATCTGATTACAGATTCAATTGCAGATTTACATTTACAATGGAAAGTGTAGACTGTAGAGCCTTCTTAATTATTGTTTTGATACTTATTGCAGCAATGCATTGGGATGTGTGTTTGAATAGGAAAATTCAGTACTGCGTAGATCACCTCAATTTTGTTTTCATCTTCTTTCAGTAACACAGTCTCATCAGTGGTATTCTTGGGGCCCACCCAACATGCAGTGTAGATTATGTGCACCATGTTGGATTTACTGGAAGAAATATGGAGGCCTAAAAATGCCAACACTGACAAATGAAGACAGATTCTCTCCTAGTCAAACAACAGAGGTGGGACATTATTTTATATTGGTGTTATTATAATGCTCATAGCAGCTATACTTGTTTATGCAGGAGAAAGTCAGAGCATTTGCTGTGTGATGCTGAACTTTTTTTATGCTTTTAGGGTTATGAATATTTTTTATAATTGCTTTGTATAATTTGTTATTTTAGTAATTAGTGATACCCAGCATGCAAAGCGATGCACATTTTGTTTCTCTATGGAAATATATGGTGGATATGTATTGCTTTTTGATATTATTATGGCACACTTGTCAGAGAACCAACATACAATTTCACTACCTTGTAAACAGCAGTTTGAGAAGTTATTTATGTTTTTAGGTCTGGAATGGAATATTATATAGATTCTGAATATAAGTTTGCATCTGTAGATAAGTATACATAAAAATATTTTTCTCCACTTTGAAGTCTCTTTAGCGGAGATGGATGAGCTTTTCCTTCTTTATCTCAAAAATGATCTTGTATTCAGAAAAAAATGTTCTCTTCTCTGTCTCAGCTAGCTGTCCTCATTCCTTTCCCAACGTCCCCTGATTATCACCTGCTTATCTGTTTCTTTCTTGGGAGGTTCAGCAATGAGGCTGGTACAAAGGAGGAGGATGAGTCATGTCCCTTCCTCTTCTCTTCCTGGTGCAGTGCAGTACAGGACACTGAGGACAAAAGTTTTAAGGGGCCCTAGGGATTTCTTAATGGCTTCTACATTATAATAAGATGGAATAAGGAAGGCTAGTGCAGGGGGAGGGAGAAAAGCTCGGGATTTTCCCCCACTTTAGATGGTGAGATGTTGCTTATTAAGTAAGGAGAGGGCAAGAGAGAATTGGCATGTTCGTGGTTGAGAACTGAAGTGTTTCTTCACTATCTATTACTATCTATTATAGCAAAGTAGTGTTAACTGTCATAGGAGATAATAATATTAGTGCCTTGATAATAATAGTCGTTTGATAGCAGTTGGCAGTTGGCTCATGGTACTTTCATGGAGAGCGTAACCCATATACAGGGAAACAGTACTATAATGGGAAAGGATGTCCCAGACAACAAAACAAAACAACAAAAAAAGCATGACCCTTTTTCTTCCTCCTGCAGGATTCATGTGTTAGGACACACATGTCTCGACAGGCAACACAGGGAATACCGGTCCGGAACACTGGCAGCCCAAAATCTGCCGTGAAGACACGTCAGTCTTTCTTCCTTCATACGACATACTTCACTAAATTTGCCCGCCAGGTCTGCAGAAATACCTTACAGCTGAAGCGAGCAGCAAGAAGACCTTTTGTCCTTATTAACTGTGCTGCCATTAGGGCAGAATGTAAGATGTTTCTAAATTCTTAGTTTAATGTGCCATTATTCCAACCACTTTCTGTCGTCCTTTTTTGTTTGTTTGTTTGTTTGTTTCTTTTGCAATAAACACATTTCTGTCTATGACCCTTTTGTATTATTTTTTTGTTAAGAAAATCTTTATTTTCATTTGTCTTTATCACCACAGAAAAGTTTATTGAAACTATTGTGAGTTTTCGAAGATGCTTAATGGCCACCAATGAATCACATAGGTTTGTGTGCCTACTTCATATGCTGCCATCACACATTTCGTTTAACCTGTCACTTTTTAATTTATATGCTTGGAAAACAGATCATACCTCCTAATAGTGATATGAATGTACTTTTAAATTGGCTTTAGATTCAGTATGATGGTAAAGGACCCCAGAGATTTAGAAGCAGACTAGTTTACTCACTCTTCATGGCATCGCACTTGTTTGCTGGTGCTGTCCCTCAGGCAGCAGTATGGTGATGAGGAAGAGCTGTATTTGAGGGAGACATATTAGAACAAAAAAGGGTGGTGATATCACTGCAAGTGTAGGCATTTAATGAAGGCTAGTGCAGAACTGAAACTGGAATTAGTGTGTTAAATCCAGGATTGGTGTTCTAATGTCAAAGCCATCTGGGGCTCTTGGCCTGAGCAGTGAGAGTAAATAGTTTTACCATTTCAATATGAAGGCCATCACCCCTGACCAGTCCATGGGCCACCCCCACAATAAGAGGTGGGTTTCTGCTCATTGAATTAGGTATCTGGAAGTAGAGCCAGAGAAAGGTTGGGAGTTAGATCCCTCTCCGGGTTTTTGATAGAAGAGCCAAGATATTTAGCCTTGGACAAGCTGCACAGTCCCAAGGCAACCCCAGAAGAAGAGAATGGTAAATCACTGTTGAATATTTCATATCTAGAAAACTCTGGAAGGGGCAGCCATGAGTTAGAATTGATTTGATGGCATCTAATTATTATTGACTGGCTGAGCTTTGGGGAACTGATGTCAGGATATGGGCCAGCTGCACAAATGTATTATTAAGGAAGAGGTGGGAGCTGAAATTAAAGTTTTCTGCAGCAGTTTCCAGTTTTCTGCAGTTTTGCCTTTCTGGAATAAGACTCACCATACAGAAGCCTAGTTCTATTCTGCCTAATCATGGAGAGAGAGAGAGAGAGAGAGACGGAATCTGTCCTATGTAGAGAACAACTCCAGCCCACCCTCCTGACCTCCCTGTGTTGTTTCTTCTGAGGCAGCATTCCTAATCACATGGAAATCTGTAATCCTATTAAGTCAAACAAGGTTGCAAATCCTTTACAAATCTTTCCCATTAAACATTCAGAGGTTGGAGTTGAGGGATGGGTCTGTAACAAAAGCTGTCCCACTTCCTCTACCTCAGTGGTTCTCCACCTTGGGTCCCCAGAGGCTCTTGGACTTAAACTCCCAGATGTTTTTACAGTTGGTGAGCTGTGCTGGCCAAGATTTGTGGGAGTTCTTCATGGCCTCTGTGAATCACGCCTTGGGTAATCCATGCCTGCGCGGAGCCTCATTAGAAAGTTCTAGAACTTCTGTGGCAGCAAAAAACACATTAGAATAAGGTCCTTCCCCCTCGTATAAGTACTTTGGCGCCAAGGCTCCCCTTTCAGTTTCTTTCAACCGCCGCTTTGAGATCCTCATAGTTTTCCTTCTGTGAGTAAAACAGAGAGTTTATTCTTGATTACTTCCTGTTAGCAATCTTTTTTCCTTTTAAACTTTTAGGTGAATTTACATTATCATCAGAGATTTTTTTTTTCTTTCTGCTTCGCTCGGCCTCCGGCTGCACCAACCCCCCCCCCCATCATCGCTGTTTCTATTCAAACTATTTTTCTCATATTCGTGGCCACTTTGGGCCCGTTTGACCACTATGTGGTCTGTGATAACAAAATACCACTCTCCGATGGCCACGCCAAGCGGCTTTTTTGCTTGGGAGAGGCACACCAAATGTCCTCCTGCCAGCATTATAAGAACTTCAAGTGCGGAGTCCTCCATTCTCGCTTATCCAGATTAAAACTCCATCTTTGGGAACAATCCCTTCAGCCAACCAAAATGGCCCAACCTCCTTGTAAGGCTACCTCACAAACCAAAGGAATGGAAAAGGCTCTTTCTGAAGCCTCCAAACAACGTCCATCGACCACACCATCCCACTCTGACGCTCCATCCACTTCATCTAAAACTTCAAAAACTCATAAATTGAAGCGCTCGATAAGAAAATCCTCTATATCGAAGCCCTCCACTAAACGTCAAATGTCCATCAAAGCCTCTTTGGTTTCGGAGCCCTCTCCGCCTAAAAAACCTAAACAGCGTAAATCTAAAGCTGCAGTCATTTCTCAGCAGCCTCAACAAACCGCCAAATCAATCTTTATTGGTACGCCTTCTGACGATGACATCAACCCTGCTCCCAATCACTGGAATGGAATGACAGAGTTTAAGGTTGCGATTAACATTTTATCCTCCCAGTCCTCAACACTCTGTTATTTTGAGCAACCCTTCCATAGTTGCCTCACCTGACAGGGTTGACTCCAAACAACAACTAGAGACCATGCCTTATTCGGTAACATCTGATTGTCTACCATGACTGCCTCAGAGTCCATGATCCTGGAGCTCTATTTCTTCAAAAACAACCAGTTCCAAGCTCTATTTTTGTCGAAGTCTCCCAATCCAGATCTCGACATCGACAAATCCTCATGCCACCAAATAAAGACAGTAGAAGGATTGACTCAATGGGAAGATGGCTTTATTCATCAGCAGCGTTCACCATGCGTGTCGCTAACTACCAGGGAGCCATGGGTGCATATCAACGTTTCCTTTGGGACAATATGGCAACCTTTGTCGCATCTTTACCAGAAAATAAAAAAGTACTTGCCCAAACCTTTCAACAAGAAGGTCTTTCTGTTGCCAAACAACAGATGCTTTCTGCTAGGCACACGGCAGACGCCACAGCAAAGTCAATGGCCACTTCAGTAGCCTTACGGCGTTTCTATTGGCTAAGGACAGCTGGCCTAGCTAAGGATGCCCATGCACATATTGAAGACCTTCCATTCGACGGGGCAGGCCTATTTAATGCTGAAACTGATAATATTTTGGAAAAAGTGCAGTGAAAGATTTGAATCTGTTCCATTTATACAGGTAAGCCTTTCTAGTGGTTTTGCTCTTGCTATTTCACTGTACTCAAAAAGGACAGAGATCTTTGCCCTATCTTAGACCTACAAGAGTTAAACAAATACATCGTTACCACAAAATTCCGTATGGTTACCCGCGAATCAGTTCTCCCTTTACTCCGCAAAAACTACTGGTTTACTGTCAGAGATCTCAAAGACACATACTTCCATACATCCTTCACACAGAAAATTCCTTCAATTTCAGCTAGGATCACAAGCCTACCAATTCAAAAGGCTTCCTTTCGGCCTTACAAAAGCTTGAAGAGTATTCACCAAGTGCGTGGTACCAGTAGCTGCTTACCTCAGCTTGCAAAAATTTCTCATATTTCCATATATCGATGATTGGCTCCTCGTAGCTCATTCCCGTCACTCTTACCCTCCTTCACTGTCTCGGTCTCACTGTCAACGAACAAAATTCAAATTTGAAAACTACAAAGATTATTCATTATATAGGTGCATGCATATATTCCACACAAGCTCATGCCTTTTTTCCTCCAGACAAGAGAGAAAATCTTATCACATTACTTCAAGTTTTCACCCCTCATGCTATGGTATCCACCTTGAATGTGCAATGTGTACTAGACACCATGGCCTATATGACTTCGGTAGTGCAGTACATACGTCTCTAGATGAGATCTCTTCAGTCATGGTTTCTCACCCTCGTCGATGTTCTCACTGATCCTCCTCACACTCTTTTAAGGGTCATGCCAGAACTTGCCTCCCAACTTCAGTAGTGACATTTTCCTCCCAACTTATCGGTTGGGCGGCAGTTCCCACAACCACAAATACAGGTCACCTCCGACACCAGCTCACTGCAAATCTCTCAAAATCCACACCAAGTGGTCTTCCAGAGAGAAATTGCTTCACAACAATGAATTAGAGCTGTTGGCAGTTATAAAACTTGCAAAGCTTTCAGAAATATCCTAGCTGACAAGATGGTACAAATTGCCACCGACAACACCACAGCGATGTACTATATTCTGAAACAAGGTGGCACCCACTCTCCAAGTCTCCTCTATTTAGCGGTCGACCTCTGGGAGTGGTGCCTACCACATCATATCTGCCTCGTGGCTTTACACATTGCTGGCCACGACAACGACTTGGCTGATCTACTCAGCTGCACAAACTCTCAAGCTCACGAATGGGAGGTAGACCAATCAGTTTTTCTTTGCCTATGTGAACGATAGGGCAAACCAACTTTCGACCTCTTTGCATACTCTGTGAATCGGAAGTGCAAACAATACTGCTCCTGAGCCGGCATTGGCAAATAGTCCCAAGAAGATGCATTCGTCGGTCGATGGCCCAAGACCCTCATTTACCTTTTTCCACCGTTCCCATTTCTCCACAAGTTTGTGATTTGCCTACAAAAAGAGAAACCCGATGCCATCATTATAGCCCCTTGGTGGCTGAGACAACCCTGGTTTCCAGTCCTTCATAATCTCTTATCAGACATACACCACCTCCCTCGCCTGCCCCACCTCCTCACGCAGAACAACACTAAGTACTCCACCCAGACTTACCTGTTCCGCACCTGGCAGCGTGGAGGATTCTACCTCACTAATGAACGTCCTCCGTCAATCAAAAAAGCCTTCCACTAGAAACGCTTACCTGTATAAATGGAACAGATTCAAATCTTTCACTGAAGCATCTTCATTGCCTTCTATCAACCCATCCTTTGCTACTGTTCTGCTTTTTTTGCTTCATCTCAAGTCTAGCAGCCTTTCCCTCTCTTCCTTGAGAGTTTACCTCTCCGCCAAAGTCTCTTATCAGCCCCCTAACTCTACGGCAGCTGATTTCTTCAAGTATCCAACATT